ATGAATCTTATAGGAGAAATACGAAGTATATTTGAAATTCAGTTACTCAAAAACTAATTTGAAATTAAATAAAAGGTTCAAGTTTCTCTTATGTTCAGACCGTTGAATATGTGACTTCGCGAAGCTATAAACACATTGTGATTTGGTGTTTTCTTTATATTTAAAAAGCCAAAATATTTTTTTTTTTAAAAATTGCAAATTAAAATATTTTAAATCTAATTCGGAATTTAAAAATAGAGACTAGTCGAACGTTTTTATTCATAAGAGGACGTGACTGCAAAAAAATAAATATATAAATAATTTTTCAATATACTGAATTATGTAACACAAAAGATCGAAGGAAAAAAGAACATGGAAAACAATCTGAATCAACTTAGTAAAATAACTAAAAAACATATGTCCGCCTCAATAATATTTTCATATCAGAATGTAGCGTCTTCAGCAATTCTCTATTAATATTCAAAAATTCATTTCTATTTTACTCCCATAGCTTTTATGATACGAGAACAAGAAGGGCGCGTGGGGATAACTTTCTAAAACAACGTTGGCAATGGAGCCATAATAATAATTTTTAATGAGATAGATAATTATATGACATTATTTTGTCATAATCATTTTTCTTCCTATTTTCTTCACAAAGTAAGAACTACCAAGACTAAAAATGCCATTTCTTCACAAATTAACCTCACAATCATACACCGAAGACCCATTACATTATGATCACCCTCCATCTATAACAATGGGCTCGCCCAGGTTTTCATGTATGTCTCGCCCAGAAACAATGTTCTCATGGGGCACATTAAGACCCATAATCCTCATAGAACAATCCCAGACGTCTGTAAGCTACTTGAACACAGTTGCAGACCAGGTTCACTCATTCATGGCAACAGTTTTTCCTACGGGGGATGGTGTTTACCAACAGGATAATGCACCATGTCATAAGGGTCGAATCATCATGGATTGGTTCGAGAAACATTCCAGTGACTTTCAAGTCATGTCTTGGCCCCCAAATTCACTTGACCTTAATCCAATAGAGCATTTGTGGTCCTACTTAGAAAACCAAATTCGTGCTGCCAGGCTACACCCTCGCAATGTGAGGGAATTGAAGTACCAGTTGGTGAGCGCTTGGTACCAGATACCTCAGACTACCTATCAGCACCTTGTGGAATCAATGCCACTGTGGGTGCTAGCAGTTTTGAGAGCTAAATGTGGTCCTACATATTATTAGCTGAGTGGTCATAATATAATGGCTCTTCGGTGTATATTCTTGTGATCTGATTCACATAGCATCTTAGGAACCATTATTTAAATATGGGACATAAATTGAGCTTCTATAAAGCCAAAGTTGTTTACGTTCTTGATACATCAGCTCATCTTGATGCTCTTGAGTCTTGTTTCATTCATATGAATACATTTCTCTAGAAAATTATCTTAGTTCAGCCCCGATCCTACATTCCACATGGAAATAAATTCTGTACTGATTTATCCCTGTCGACCATCTTCATTCACTCGAAAAACACGATTCTTCTCTCTCTTTTTTTTGTATTCTTTTCTTCCCATTTTTTTGTTGCTAAAAGTGTCCTTTGTTATTTTTTACCTGTATTACTTCGCTTTGTATTAATGTGTTTTCTTGAAATTGAGCGTCGTGTACGAAATCTGTAGACCTTCTTTCCACTTTATTTATATATCTAATGAAATTCATATCCCTTCCACTTCAGTTTCATGGTGTTATCCGATTTCTAGCATTACAAAAGTTTAAAACAAGAGTCTATAAAATATGACATTTTTCAATTTCAAACTAAGCTCGACAATAGGAGAAAAGTCACCTTGGAAGTAAAATATTGTTCACGAAAAGGTCAAAGTAGTTTTTGACATCAAATATTCAATATCAACAAAAATATGAAATAGTCATAGCTATATTCTTAAAAATACCCGGATCTGTTGCATTGACTTTCATGACAATTTTTATAAAGCGCATTTTATTTTTGTTTCAATAACTTTAAGTTCAAAACCTAAGAGTTCTCGTTGAGAAAGGAAAGCTATGTTTTCATTTTACAAACTTTACTTATAAATTCATGTTTAAAGCCAAACTTCCCCTAGAGCACTTCTAATACACAGTATTGCATTTTATAATATGTAAATTTCATTCTCGGAATACAGAAAAGATTCTACTAATAATCAAAATTTTGAGGAAAAAAAATATTTAAAGCATTTTTTGGCAAAATATTATTGTTGTAAACATCCTTAACATATATTTTTAGAATTAATGTAAAAACGTCAGCAAAGTATACGTATTAGAAACCAGTAGTTAATTATTAGGTTTATATTAAAAATAAAAATGCTATCGAAATCTGTTGAAACACTATTGAGGAAAGTGAAATGAAAAACATTTAAGCTATTGAGTTCAAAGGATGCAACTTAATGGAATTTCTAATAAAAATAGTATTCTAACGCATGTTTCCACGAACATTCAAACAGGGTTTGAATTGTTTATTGCCTTTTGCTCAATACAATAGTGATTCGTCGAATCGTTTGTTTTGTTTTTTTCTTTGGTGAACAGAAGATAGATCATTATATGTTTATTCATAATTTCCGAAATAAGTTTCTTCATGAATTTTCTCCATAATTTTTTCTTAATAAGTTGTGAAAAAGAAATGAGTCATAAAAGTTTAATAAATTAGTATTACTTTAGATTTATTCACTTTATTTAAAATTTTAATTTATAATTAATAATTAATGATTTTGACTCAAATTATAAGAACCAACTCACCAAATCAATTTTGACTATATTGTTGATAATGATAGTGTTGCACCTGAAGGGTGACATGAATTTCGATCAGTGAGAACTGCCTTTAACTTCAATCTCAATCAGTGAGAACTACCTTGTGAGAGAAGCAGAGCAGTGGAAAAGAGCCCTAAGACAAGTAGAAAGACTTTTTCTAGAACTGTTTTTCAGGTGTGGCAACTGCGGCTGGGAGATTTTGATTGTTTGAACAAAGAATGTGTGGGTGATATTCTTTTTGGGAGTTTTCACGAGGATTAGGGGGCTTGCCCCCCTAATTCCTGCAGAGAGAGTTTTTTGTCCTTGCCTGAATGTGGTAGGCAAGAAAATAATTTCTACTCAGGGGCAAGGAATTTTCCTTGTGTTTTTGATCCATTTTCATCGTTGTGAAAGTTTAAAACCACTTTTACAGAATTGTAAAATTCTTTTCTTCAAGATGTGGTGTTTGCACCACTGTATTTAGTGTTGTTTGATTCCTCCAATAAATTATGTAAGTTGTCTATAATTTTGATTCTGTCTTTCTTTCTAGAGCCATGTTATTTTTTCTAAAATATTCTCTTTCACTAGGATTCACTATTCTTTTTTAGCTTCCACTATATATCTTTTTTTAGATCACGCGCCGGTCTTATGCCCACGTGCCGGCAGTAATTATCTTATAGCTTAATTCATTTTTCTTGATTGAATTATTTCTTTTCAGTTACCTGCTTGATTTAGGTAAGAAAGTAAGATATGTAATTTATAATATAGTGATTTATTTATCACTTAATTATTAACTCTCTCGAGTTAATCCCAGCTTATTTCTTGTATCTTGGATACATCATGTGCAAACACACATGCTTCCCTTATATTTTATCTATGTAATTTATCTCAACAAGCTATACCAGATAGATTAAGAAATTTAGTTGAATTAGGGAATAGAAATTCATTAGTTAGAGAGAAGAAATTTATTATTTATAACATTAACTGGAACTAATGAACAGCTTTTTTGTATCTGCAATTGATTTGCAAATACAACACTGACTGATACATTGATAACACAGGGGGAAACTTTTTGTGCTAATTATACAAATGCTTGTCCTTGCCTAATTTGGGTGTTGGGATTTAAAATTCGAAATTAGTTTTTATCCTAATGCTACGCAATGTTTTAAATGACATTTTTAGTTTATTTTTTGTTTAAATGTACAGGTTTCAAAATGTCATGTGCGTAATTGCTAAAATATATGCCGTGAACATGTTACGAAAAACTATTAGAGGTGTTAAGACAAACCATTAGGATTAAAATTGCAAGGAAACCCATGCCCGGAAATGTTCTCGTAAGCGACTAGAGGCACTTGCCTATTATGACCTGTTCAAAACCACACGAATAAATAGGAAAGCACCCCTGGTGGCCAATTACAAAATTTCTAAGCATAGATTTTTATAAAATTTTAATCCTGATTCCCTAGCTCTCCTAGAAGTTTGCTGTAACACTTATGTAACAGTCTATTACATATAACGCTTTTAAACTTGCACATTTCGGCCAAAAAAAACTAAAAATGTCATTTAGAAAAAGCTGTAGCTTGGGGAGAGTAAGCGATTACGAACTTCTAATCAGCGGCGGAAAAATATGCAAGATCCGTTTAAAAAAAATCCCATGAAACAGAAAAAGAAAACAATTCCCCCGTGTAATCATTTAAAAACAATAATACTTTTTAAATTTTTGGATTAAAATTATAATATTTTAAAAAAATCATGCAAGAAATTAATATGTATTCAAGAAAAAAAACGCTATCGAAATCTCATCAATTGCAGTGGTGGAAAGCAGATGTAATAAACATCAAAACAGCAACTGGAGGTTGAAATGCTTCTAATAATCGTTATTCAACTCCTCTCTGTTATTTCCTCAATCAAACCTCCCTTGTTTTTCATTATTCCTTCCGTCTTGTACCGTGATACCAAAAGATTCTAAAACGTAAATGTTCCATACTTTTAGAAGCTTATCTTGAGAGGAATATCCTCATACACTGAAAGCTTGATTAAGCTATATAAGTAACCAATGAGCGAACGTAGTGAGCTTGAATTGCGAGGCAATTTAAGGAGCTGGGATAGTTTCCCCTAATTACTCTCTATTCTGTAAGTGAAAGAACTTCGATTCAACGGTAGTATGTGTCCAGGTTTCTTTTTATTCCGGTATCTCGTATCATTTCTATTTTATAACCAAAAAATATACGAACTACAATTTCTTTTTTTAAAAAAAAATTATATTTTATTGAACGTATGATTCCAAATTAAAAGTCATAGCATGTTTTATAGTATTAGGGCTAAAGTGAAACAAGCTCTATAAAGCCTGTTGAAGTCTACTTTTAACAATACGAGTAATTTGACATTGAAGGACCCAAAACTAATATTTTAAAATACACAGATAATGCCATCAGAGTGAATCATATCAAGCTTTAAAATAATTATATCATTTATAAACATATGTTATGTCATCAAAAGGTTGATTGCTGCTTAAAAATTTTCTACTGAGGATCCTGGCAGGCAAAGGGTTTAACACAGTTTGATCTCTAAACATCGTACTTCTAATAATAATATATCACACTTACATTCAACAAAAAATTATTTGTGTTTGCGTTAGCAAGCAAAATAAATTCATTTTAACACGTTCAACCAGGTGCAAGACGCTTATTTAAGAATGTTATATGTAATGTTTTGGTTTTTCATTACTAATACGTTAACTTTCTAGGTGTGAAAGAGATACGAAGACGAAAAAGATTTGCATAGCATTATAAGTTCATAGGGCGTGCTCGGCTCACTGGCACGCTACGTCACGGGATCCATCATGCCTCGGCTTCTTCCTCTGAGGTGAAGCTAAGACCTTACATGTACGAGAAAGAGTTTATTCAATTAAAGGCCTCATTACTCACATTTTTGTCGCTGAGAGACACACCAGAAATATTCCAGAATGTTTAGAGTAGCTCACAACATAGCTGAGAAATCTGCGTGCCTACCTTTAGAAGAAATTCTAAACACCTCTTGCACCACGTAGCATCAATCCAATGTTTCCTTCCCTTACTTATTCCATATATAGTGGTACTTTTTCAATTCGTCGGCGGAAGTAAATGAAGCTATTTTTTATTTATCATTTTCTAATAAAAAGTAGATGCCACTTACAAAAAATGAAAATAAAACAGTAGAATTTATTTGCTCTTGGTGACTGAGCATTGGCGACTTAATCGCTAATGCCAACGAAATTTAAAAGTAGCTCTGAAAAATTCCTTTTGGATGCTACTATGCTAGGTAATTTCAATTTTTCTTGTTGCTCCTTGCTTCTCTTGTAAGCTTGATTGCACTGTCAGTGATGAACAGTGTTATCACATAATAGCCCATTTTATTCACTGTTTAAAAGCCCAGACAACTAAAATGGTTTGCACAAATTTTCACAAATTTGAATACAATTTCTAAATAAATTATCAAAAAATTAAATATTTTTAAGAGAAAAAATATTAAAAGCTATTCACTTCAGAAAAGAGGTCCTCTGAAGCTTTGGCCTTCTTTTTGAAGCTTTAATTGCACAAATTCAACCAATTTCTAAAACATACAATGTGAAAAACGCCTTTAACGCGCATGAGTCGGGGATAAAGAGTGTACAAAAGGGCACAGAGTTGAACGTGTTAAGCAAATTTTACTGATAGATTAATATCAATCCTCTGGTGTCTCACAGATTTATAGTACATAAATTAGTCTGCACATTTGCTGTCAGCCACCAAGCTTTGTCTTAGCATTCATTATGTGTCTGATTTGGTCTTTTCTCTCGTCAAACATCAATGAGCACTGGCACCCTTCCACGATCTCGGAACAGTGTTAAAGTTCTGGAAGTTCATCTTTCTTAATGGTGTGTAACTGTTCTGAACATTTTGGGTATCCAAGGACGGTGATACAGATGGATGTGTTGAATATAAAGATGCATTATCAACTGAAACATTTAAAAAAAAATAGTAAACATGTTTTTTAAACATTTGCTAAATGAATAAATGAGATATGAACACTCGACTATCCAAGTCAAAATTTTTGATGGTCCCATCAAAAAAATTTGATGGTTTATGTTGATTTCAATGTAATTCATGATGTTCCAAAATCATTTGATGGTCGCTATCATCCGACATTTTTCATTACGCGTTCATGGTTTTTGGTATGCTAACAAACTTCCAGCATTCCATGATGGAAAATGTTACGTTAATGCTATGATGGTTAACCATCAAGAGAAGTTTGAATCTCATGGACCAACAATCCATGAGGATCCTTGATGGTCTTATGATAGTTTCATCTATACATTTCCATGATGGTTTAATGTAAATTCTTGTTGTTTCTCAGGAATATACCATCGAAACAATTTGCGTTTTCTTATGTTGGACCATCATAAATCAGTCCGAATTCCTACATTTGGATGATGGTTGTTCATGATCATTCCAACATTTGATTTCTAAGATACTATGATGGAAATTCGTGATAGTTCAACGTGACCAAACCATCAAAACAAGTTGCTATTCTTATGTTGGAGCATCATAAATCAGTCCGAAATTGCTCCGTTAAGCTTATGGTTACTTATATTGGTTGCCATAAAAAAATATAATCGTTCCTGATGGAACTATGGATGGATGCCATCAAGAATATGGTGGTCCATCAATGGAAAACCATCAAAAAATTTGACTGAATATGAATAAAGTAATTTTCATGCATTCTTATTTGCCACTAGAATACTCGTTTACAGAATACTCTTTTTGGCTAATATATTAATCAATTTCCGGCTCCACGTTCGGAAACATATCGTGGAAACGTCATAGAACATAGAAAAGAGTACATGCAGTTTCTTGTTCGTCTCCGGCCAGTTTATTTTTCACCTATTTTTTCAGTTTTTGGCTGTTTTAGCGAGTGAAAAATTATTTAATAAATAATTTTTATTTTATTTATTATTATTTATTATAATTTCTTATTATTACTTATTTATGTATGTATAAAGATTTACGAACATAAGAACTAAAGTAAACAAGAATATTTTCGTGTTTAAAAGTGCCCTGCCAGACTTATGATTTTAAGTTGATTAAAATAGCCTTTATTGAATATAATCTGAAAAGCTTATATTTAATAAATTATAATAAATTATTATTATAATAAACATTTAGTTTGCATTAGCTGGAGTTACTTCCATATAACTTCATTAGATGGAAAGTTTAATAAAAAAAGTTTTAAAACTTATCCAATGGTTTTTAAAAATAATAATATTAAAAATTTAAAAAAATCTTTTACTGATTCAAAATTTTCTCTTTTAATCAAATGCTATTATTCATTTTTGACTTAAACAGCACATGATACCTTCATTTTTGACATATCTTTGCTTAAACAGCACATAATACATGAAAAAGAAATTAAAATACCAATGAAAATCACTGTGGAAATGCGTGGATTAATTCCCAACACGTAGGGGGGAAAAGAGACAGTGGAGTTGTTGTTGTTGTTAATTTACGTCGCACTAGAGCTGCACAATGGGCTATTGGCGACGGTCTGGGAAACATCCCGGAGGATGATCCGAAGACATGCCATCACAATTTTGATCCTCTGCGGAGGTTATGGCACCCCCACTTCGGTAGCCCGACGACCTGCTTGCGAAGTCGAGCACTTTACGGTAGCACAGTTTAACGAGGACCAATACCGCACACCCTCGGTCCCTACGCCGACTGATCAAAGTGGTCACCCACCCGCACACTGACCGTAGCCAGTGATGCTTGACTTCGGTGATCTGCTGGGAATCGTGTCTTAACGATCAGTCCACTTCGGGAAAGAGATAGTGGAGATGTGTCACCAAGTGTGGTAACCTTTCCATTATCTTTCGGTTTGGCTAACCAGCTATTACGGACAATTTTAAATCCGTTATCGTAAATCTCTAACTGAAAGTTAGATGTCAAGACGTTCATTATAAGTAGATATGTATATTTTGTGCTACATTAAATTATAATAAAATTACCGATGTACGTCCGGTTCTCTAATAAAATTTCACCTTTATCATTTCAAAAGTCAAACGTTAAGGATATGGTTAATAACAATAGAAGTGAATATGGTTTTAAATGTGAGCCACATTAAATAACAGAAAAGTAGGCAGCATAATAAAAAGTAAATTAACGGTGAACGTCAAGAAAACTGCAGCTTAAACTGCACAAGAGTTATGCAAAAATAATATTATAAATATAAATACCAGTACTGTTACAAGACATTTTCATGATGCTGCATTGCCTTGGCGAATATCCATAAGTCATTATTAGCAAAAAGAATTAGAAGGCTAGATTAGCAAGAAGAATTAGAAGGCTAGATTACAGTTTACCTTAGACAATTTAAAATAGACTTTCGAGAATTGTAAAAAAAAAGTAGGCTTTTCAGATGAATTTCAAATCAATTTACACGATCAATTGACGGCAAATCTCTTGATGGCAATCGATTGATGGCAAAAAGTATGTTTGATGTCCAAAAAAGAAAGAAATTAAATATAAAATTCCTACTGACAAACATGGTAAATGCAATGTTATGGTTTGGAGTTTGTTTTGGATCAAGGACCAAGACCATTGTGCAAGCTGGTGGCTCTACGGATTGCTATATGTGTCGTTATATTTTACAATATAATCTTTGAGTGTAATTAAAAGAAAAATGAAGAACGGGGATTGTAGAGCACTCTGAATACACTAAATGCAATCCTATCGAAATGTAAATAATTGAAAGAAAAATTAGCTTTTCAAATTACCAGTGTTCACACCAGCCCAACCCCTGGGTGCTTTAGCGTGATAAATATCATACTGCGCAGCTGCTGGTGTCATGGGAAGGGGTGGCGACATGCATGTTTCTGGCACGGGTGTGTCCCAACTCCTTGTTGGAATAGAGTTTCTTCTCTTGTTGTCTGCTGCTTTGATAACAGTGTCTGCAAGCTGGTCAGGATTTACACGCATGAAAGCTGCATCACAAAAACCATACGGATTCTCCATGGCAGCTTCCCAAGGCGATTTGACTAACTTCATATCCTGTTGTAAAGAAATTAGATTAAGATAAAGATATATGTGAATGGTATATATGTATAGATGTGAATGGTATTTACTCTCTAGGAACGAACTATACATAGGCAGTTGGCACATCCGCAAAAGGATAGATTTCAGAAATGCTACTAGTTGTGTTGAAATGTTGATATTTGTTTTCTTACAAAATTTTTGAAATTGTAAAATGTGATAAAAATAAAATCTTTATCTCTGTTTTACTACTATATCAGAATTTTTCTTAAAAAATCACAAGATGTAAAAAATTTTCAACGTCACAAAAAGGTGTTAAGTTTTAAATAAGATTTTTAAGGAAAACTCTATTCTCAATGATTCGCGATAATAAAGAAAAATTGACAGAAGATGAAAAGAAAAGTTGCTGGTATAATAGAATGAGACATAGCAGCAGATACAAGGTGTTAAGTAACGACCGGTATGAATATATATTTTTACAATCCTTGTCAAAATAGAAGTAAAAAAGTATTCATATTAGAAAACGTAAAATTATATTTAAGCGAAAGAAAAACACCACCGAAATCTGACAAATTACAATTAAGGGACGCATACTTTAAAATAATAGTTTACTGAGCTTTATCCTAATATGTTGAACAATACATGGTTACTTTATAACTTTACGTTTTTACCGTTATCATACCTAATTGTTTAATCCAACTTAAAACTCAAAATCCAACTTTTAGTCCAACTTAAAACTTTGCATCAAGAACAAAGATCCAGTTCAAAGTTCCATCGCTCTAGTTGTTTGAAAGTCAAGTTGGAAGCAAAGTTTCGAGTAGCGATGAATTTTATTAAAAAAAATATTGCGCTTGAAGTCTTAAGAAGAGCTTGAAACTTTAATTTTCACTAGGCAAGCTTAGAGCTCTAGATAAGGATTAAATGCTCTCATTAGTCACAGAATGGTTAGAATTTTGCTTAATGATAAATCCTTTCTGACTATGGAATGACAATAAATTCTGTGTGTAATGGTCACGCAACAATTAAAACTAGCATTGTCATCAGACACGGAGCCCCAATATAAATTTTGTACTCTAGCTAGCCAGAAAGTGGTCAAATTCACAAATTCAGATTCTAAGATTCCATCATCTAAGAGACGAAAGCGAGATAGGAAAAACATTCTAATAAAAAGTACTTACTTGTCTCGAATATGTTGAATACTGATTGTACGATTGAATAGGTGGCACTACATTCGATCTTCGTTCGTTTTCACGTAGTAATGTTTTAACTTTCTCTTCATCAACGACCCATTCTTCTGATTTTTTCTTTCTTTTTGCAAACAAAGCAGCACCTACAAGAAATTAGTCTTGTCATCAAATAGAAGTATTTGTCCTATTCATTTTTTTGTGAAATGATGAGCTGTGAAAATTTCTTCAAAATATCTGCATCAAAACTTTTCTAAACAAGCTGTCAAAAGTTTTCATTTTCACTTTAAATTCCTCAGTTTGAATAATCAAACTATTAGTTAGATTCGTGATCTACATTAAGCTAGTTGATAAACATATTTATAAGAGAAAATATGGATTTAATTATTGTTCCAATAATTAAAACAGAGATTGAAATTATTAAATTGGATCAATTTTCTAACAAAAGATTTGGGGGTGGTTTGTGCGCCATTGCGCATCTAATGTACGATAGAACATTAAAATGAGTGCGGACATATGATTGAATAATGATTGATTTGATAATGACACATTTAATAATAACAGATTTTGGTTCATTTTTTGAATAAAGAATTTTTTTTTAAATAAATTTCGTGACAAACAATCTATTTTTCCCCGATTTCCAAACTAATACAGTGACTTTTATCATCAGATACACAACTAAACCGAAATTAAACAAAAATTAATAAAGAGTTATTTTTCTATTAATTATTTTCTTTGTTTTTAAGTTTTGAAAATATTAATAAACTTTAATTCAATGAATGACATTACCCTGTACGCAATTTCAGAACTCTTAAATATCAAAAGCAGTTTAAGAAAAACTTGTGAAAACAGTAATAATATTCATTAAATACCAACCTTTTCCCCTTGGTGACTGTAAATCCTTCACCAGATCATGACAGATGTCTGGACTAACAGCATTGTGCTCACTGATTTGCAAACCAAATGACCTATAAATATTTCACAATAGAAATATATATCCTGAATAAAAAAAAACATTGCAAACTCTGACAAATGTTTTAACATTTCCCACCTTTAACAAATATGTAAAAGATTGGAACAAACTCTAATTAATCCTCTTGTAAATTAATTGGTTTTTATTTAGTTTCATCAGGTACTGGGAGTGTGTGCAAAAAAATGCGTGATGATTTGGAAAATTAATTAAAGGAGAACAGAAGATATAAATGTACAGTTTGCTGCTTTCTTCTTCGACAGATGGCGCTGCTAACTGATAAGATCTATAAGACACTGTTTTAAAAATGACTACCATTTGTAACAGCAAAGTGGAATAACAATGTTACTGGTCTCGGAACAATGTTAACTGACTCACATGTTAATATTTCAGTTAGAATATTCTAACATGCAACAGAAAACATTGTTTTATAGATTTTTCTTTAAGCAGCTTTAAAACTTACTTAATATATCTCAATATTTACTTTTGATTTTCAATTTCTTTTAACTTGCCAATAATAGACATAACTGGAAAAAGGACTCTAGGGATTTATGTTTGTGAAGCTACTGTGTTGTCACTATTAAATTTTCGGTTATAAAAATGTTGATTGAATATTGTTAAATCATTTCTTCTGGTACTTAGTGTGCGTACATTAATTAATTATAGACTACAATTTTTCCTACATTTCTCAAATTTATCTGTGGAATTTGGTTAATTTTTATACAGTGAAAATTTCACATAGCACATTTTGAGTTTTATTTAATTCTAAATTATCAGTACCTATGTATAGTACTAAAAGTAATTCATTGAATTTAGTGTAATATTCTTTACTTATTATTAAATAATATAAGTAATAGATTCCAATTCATGCAGTTTGTTTTGTAACATATTTTTGCTTAGTTAAAACTTAATTATAATTTATATTGAACAAAATAAACAATAGATTAAATGATCAATTTTATAACTTGTCCTCACGTGTTCCTAATTGTGTGTTGCTAGTGTCACCAGAAACACTAAAAATTTTATATAATATATATACATACATCTAGGGTATGTATTACTCAAAATGAAAAAAACACTCAAATTTTAATGGAAAAAATACTAGATATATTCAAAATGATCTTTATGCTGGTTAACGTTTTTTGCTAACTCTTAAAAATTGTTCTCTTTCTATTTTTTGTTGACTTCTTAAATCATTGGTCATTTTCAATGCATAAAGACATGCAAATAAAGCCTATTCATGGAATTTTAAGTGCGATTTTAATTATTTGGAATTAGTAAGAAATACTCTTACTTGAGAGCGGTGAGATCAAGTGGTGGCCTGGAATCCATGACAAGTTTTAATTTTGTGGGCCCTTTAGAAGGTCTAAATGGAACTTGAGATGGATCCGGAGTTGGAGGCTCCACACCTGGAATTTCTGGTGTATCAGGTCCTGATTCATCGCTTGGTTCTGGTCCTGTAAAATCAATTAATAAAGTATACATTGTAAATTATTAAAACCATATTGAATGCATTGTCTATATTTTATAATGTTTTTCTACATCATATATATTGTATAGTGAAATTCTGTTGTTGTTGTTTTTGTTACTAATGACACTAGCCAGTACCAGCAAGTCTTCTATGAGAATCAAAGTCATTTTAAGACAGAGAGTGAGGTCTTAAGTTTTAGTGGCGCCATCTATGACCAAGAATGCGCCTTCAGCCATACACACGGCACAGCCCGTTTTACAGGGAGGACCCATTCATATATCCATTCAGTCATCCACAGATTATAATTTTGGCCTGAACCAGAGAACGATCAATTTTCAATTCAGTACCTCCAGAGGTATTGGTTTGTTATGGGAACTTGTAGGACTTTGTCACACCAGCAGATTTAATGCGCACCAGTCACCTTTTAATACCTTTTCACCTTTTAATAGGCTGCATTTTTTTGGCCTGCATATTGCAATTCTACATTGTATATATTGTATATTATTATTGTATATTGTTATATTGTATTAATTTTTAATTGCCATTCTACACGGAGAAAAAAATCTGTTAAAATAATGGTACTGTATGGTAATGACATCTCTGGTAAAAAAAAAATGCTGATAATAAAAACCATTCATTTTATTAATTTTCCGTTAATATGTTAACGGTTTACCGGAACTTGAGGTATTCAAAATTACAGTTTTTATTACCACTATTTAGTAAAAGTTACAAAACTGACCAATAAATGATTTTTATGCCATGTTCCTTGGTATTATGATAAATAAAATTACCAAATTTTACTGCAAAACATTTTATTTCTTCAGATTATAAAACAGTTTTATCATATATTAAAAGACCATATTTTATTATTAATTTTACCAAAATCATTACCAAAGTACTTCGGTAAAAATTACCACGCTTCCTCACTGTTAGAAATTTCTTGAAAAAAGGGTTAAATAACAATTTATTTATTTGTTATATTATCATATTCAAACAAAACAGACAAATAATCATACATAAGAGGGTATTCAAACTATAAGCTGTGAGAAAAGCCATTTATTAACTACTTTCACCAAATACGATAAAACAACCAGAATTTTATTGCACCAACTAAGCCCACCTAATAAAATCACTTAGTTCCTTGCAACAGCAGACATATTATAGTCATGAGGGTTAATTTGTCAGTGGTCGTCAGATCGGGGGTTCGAGTCGCAGTGTTGACACCACAATATTGCTTCCATTCCCTGCAACACATATAGAGTTTCCAGTGACCTGCACTCCCCAACTTATGACCTGCCTTCTCCAATGCCCATTACGTAATGGGAAGTTTAGCCCTAATGTCAAGGCACATTATTTTATACGGTTTTGAAACCATGCTAGTTGTAATTGTTTAAAAAACAGCATAGTTTTGCATTGATGGTCTTATAACCATACTAGTTGCGAATGATTTCAAAACCGTAAAAGTAAATAATGTTCTCTGACGTAAACTTTACGGTTTAATGTATAGACAGACTGCTGCCGGTTATTTTACCATAATTTTAGAAAGAATTTTTAACAGTGCTTGATTCCCACAAAGCCAGAAGCTTTAACATATTCTGATAGTTTTAGCCATACTTTTTTCGCAGTGTATATTGCTAAAATAAAAAAAATTATCGTTTATGTTTTGAGAATAATTTAAATCGAAATAGTTTCTAATTTCAAGATCCAGCAACACAGTGGTGTGCATAAATAAACAATCTACTGCTACCAATTGTCTAACATATCAATAATTAGTAAAATATAGAAAAATGCATAACTTCACTCCATAAATTTTTCAAAAATGCACAACTGCCCTAAACTTTAATATAAAAGAATAGCCATCTTAACTTCTAAGAGGATTTTTTCTATCATCTTCTTTTTTTCAAATTTCTAGTGTCTAATCACTGCTAAGAGGGTTACATCCTATTTTTAAAACATTAAAAAAAATCCCTTATTCTTACAAGATACAAGACAAATTTTGAATAACTAATTTAAAAAAATAATTTTAAATATTTTTAGAAAATGTATAACCAGCCTTAACGTATAATATGATATTTTTGAAAACCTTTGTATAGTCTAATAATAGCTAAGAGTATCGCGGATTAATGTTAGAAAATATTAAAAACCACAATCATCACAAAATATATAAGATTGAAATTTGAACTACATATTTATTTAAAATAATTGTTCAAAATTTGTCAAAATTTGTTCTTAATTTGAAAAATTTGTTACAGAAATATTATCACAATATCCTATATTTTTCGTAAAATTGCACCATGTTTTGTACCATGGTCTCTCAGTTACCATCTTGCTTTTTTCCGACGGCTGTATGGTTCAGTAAGAGAAGGGCTATACTGGCGTGGGGAAAAAAGCAAGATTTTCCGACACCCTAGTAACGAAGAAAGGAGTAAAGTGGAGAGTGGAAAAATCACATAAACTTGCGACACGTATTCTACTTATAAAGCGTATAATCATACATCAACAGTGTGTTAGCTGTTATAACAACAGTTTCACCAAATAAAAAACTTAGCGATGAGCTTTATTCGTCACTGAAGATAACGGGTAACAGTGAACCATGTTCACAGCAAAAATTAAGTAAATATTTTTATCAATCTCTAAAATTACTCAGGATCCATTGAGAAAAGCTATGTCGCTGTGATTTTTGCACATGATGGGTGGATTTCTTAAGAAGAGCAGGTATAAAATTTTGGGTTATGTCTATCTCTTTAATGGAGGTCATTTTTCTGTTAGATTCCCTAGTGGGGCATGATGGGTAAGGGGTCAAACTCTGGGATTGCTGTTCTTTGATCTCAAACTAATAATAAGATACTTACCTTCATGAATCCATTTTGATGATCGTTTCAGTCTCTTGTAAAACATATTTGCTCCTTTCGATTTTTTGTTTGTATCATCAGCAAGTGAGCCAGCTATCTTTCTAGCCATCTCTACCTGTTCTTCTACTGTGGGGTATATGGACTGCGGTTCCTCATAAAAACTTGACGATGAAAACATTTTCTCTGAAAAATATCATCCATTAATTTTTAGCCAAAGTTAAAAAAAGAACCAGAGCAGTTCATCCCACATTACTGACACATTTCCAACTGTAACCAACTAGTCGGTAAAAGTTGAAAATGTGGTTATCACTACAGAAGTTATGAGAAAACGAGCTTTGAAAGATTTAATAGGCATAAGTGCAAATCTCGATTTTTGAAAAAAAGAATTCGATTGCCGGAGCCAGATGTAAATTGCTCTAATCGATTACCGTATTGTTCAAGTTATGTTGTTATTCACGTTGTGTATTAATTTAAAAAAAGAACCAGAGCAGTTCATCCCATATTACTGACCCATCTCCAACTATAACCAACTAGTCGGTAAAAGTTGAAAATGTGGTTATCACAACAGTAGTTATGAGAAAACGAGCTTTGAAAGATTTAATAGGCATAAGTACAAATCTCGATTGTTGAAAAATAGAATTCGATTCCCGGAGCCAGATGTAAATTGCTCAAATCGATTACGGTATTGTTCAAGTTATGTTGTTATTCTCGTTGTGTATTAATTTTGTAGGCGACAATATGTTGTGTAAACAACAATTTTAAAACTCAGCTTGAAAGGTAATTAAGCATACATAAAGAGCAAATAAAATTATGAAAGAGTTCTCGTGACACTTTGATAATTGTATAAGCTATATAGTTCATATTCGTTCTAACGTCTATTTATAGCTCATTGATGTTTCCAGCAAAAAAAATTCCTTAGATATCTTCAACTTTTATCTTAAGTTAAAACAAAGCTATCATTTAAACACTATTAAACTTTGTGTACTATTTTGTTAACAAATATCTTATATGTTTCCGTTATGAATATATATTGAATTGATCTTAAAGAAGAAAAATTTTAAAGCATCGCGCATTGACCAGAAGATGCTGAACTAATAGTGAGACGATACGGGCTCTTAATGTACCAGCGCGACATTCTTCGAGTTGATGTTTATAAAGAATGGCCTAATTCAAAAACAGTTGTGCAGGTCTCAAAATGAAAACAAGTACGGAAATAAAAAAACGGATAAAGGAACAGAACAATTTACTTTAACAGATATTATCTTAACCATTTGCTTACGGTGCCTGATAGCACCAGCTATTTTTAACCATCAGTTGTACCAGCTGTAAGCAAAAGGATAATAAAATGTTTAATGGTGGCCAACAATTACATGTTAAGATGATGTTTGAAATTTAATTTAGAAGTAACGCTACATTTTTCAGATTGCCCCACTAATATTCTAGAAAATTTTCAGCTTGCAACTACTTAGATACGAGAGACTATGTCTTCAATAAAATCAATTTGGTCTCGTCATTTTCATTTAATCAAGGCAAAAGGTGTTCGGCATAAGCCCAACAATTTAGCAGAGCAACGAACAAAATCATCTACCTACTACCTGAATCAGGTATTTTAGACTCCGCATTCAATTTTAATTCATATCCTTTTCAAATCATGCAAGTCTGTTGCATTGTAGGAGAAGTTTTGTACAGTTCTTAGGACTTAAAAATGACGAACGAGCAACGAACAAAACCATCTACCTATTTTACTACCTGAATTAGTCATTTCAGACTTCGCATTGCTCTGCAATTTTAATTCGTATCATTTTCAAATCATACAAGTTTGTTGCATTGGTAGAGAAGCTTTGTACAAGTATGGGGTACAGTTCTTAGAATTTAAAGTAACGAACGAACAACGCTCAAAACCATCCACCTACTACCTGAATCAGACATTTTAGACTCCGCATTCCTATGCAATTTTAATTCGTATCCTTTTTAAATCATGCAAGTTTGTTGCACTGGTAGAGAAGCCTTGTACAAATATATGATACAGTTCTTAGAATTTAAAATTGAAAAAAAATTAATAACACAGCATTGAAACATGAAATTCTTTACTTACTCTTTTTTGTGATTATTGTGCTTCCAAATGGTGAGTCTTCAGTTATGCAAGAGCTTTCAGTGGAATTTTCAGAATAACCTAAATTTCCATTTAAAGTTGCAAGGTCCTATTTGTAAATCAAATGAAATTAACAACGTTATCAGCAAATGTTTGGTTCAACTAGTTAATGTTATATCACGGGACTCTAATTCTGATAAATGAGAATTGAAATAACTTATGTTAACAAATTTCCTGCGTAACAATGTACCTCTAAATATGCAGTTAAAAATACTCCCAAAGCAATGTTAATTCAGAAGAACTAAGCTTATGCATTTTGTGCGAAGGGTTTTTTTAAAGAGCATGGATAAAATACATTATTATTTCCGAAATATAAATTAAAAATTAGCAATTAAATTTTATACATTTCCTAAAAATATTTTGTACAAATTTAAAGTAAAATCTAATCTAATTTCTTAAATGTAAATACAAAAGTTATTTTAAAAAACAATTATATGTGCTTGAGAGATGAAATTAAACCTAATACCAATTATAATTACTATTGGCATTTCTTAATACAAACTTACGGAATTATTCTAACATTAAACTATTCAAATTATTATAACCACCTTTTGGAATTATTCTTCCAAAAAAATATAAATTATACCTTAATTGAATACCTTGATTATAAGCTCCCGTTGTAGTAATTGAACAATACATACGGAAATAACAACATATGTTTAAGGATAAATCAGAATTACAAACAAACACATATATTAAACAATATAAAACAAACACATCAAATAAACAAAATCTGCTACAGAAATTGATTAAAATTTTGGATACTAAGTCATACTTATTTACCGAATAAAAATGTTAATTTTTTCTACGGATAAATACACTGAGAGGTAAAATGAAATGGCATATGTATAGTTTAATATCACCATCTGTTATGGTATTAACGAAAGGAAATTAGTGTTATCTCGTTTCTTGAGATTACGGTCATGAGCGCCAACTTTCTTTACATATTTAAAAAGAAATTTTGTTTGAAGAAAATTTATTCATTTTTACATCTAAGTAAAAATCAACCTTAAAATCTGCTGACTATGAAAACATTTTTTTACTAGAGAAAAATCTCAGTTCTCGTCTCATGATGCAGATACTTATAAGGTATCTGCTTGCATACATATTCATACCTGCCAAATAAAATTACAGAGATTTTACTAGCGACATTTTTTAGGCTACGATCTGATTTTACCGGAGTTTATGTATTCCCACTTTAAACCATTTCAATTTGCTTTTCAGTGTACACATTTAAACTAATTTTTTCTACGCATGCTAAATTGTAATTAGCTTAAAAACTAAGTAGATATATGCTAGCTGTTGTGCTGGATTAGCTGAAGCCCACACCATCACTCAATATTCTTACCCTTTCCATTTCTTTCAAGCAATCATTAAAACTACTCATGATTGGATCACTAAGAGGACGCAATTTTGGTTTAGGTGGTACGGGTGGGGCTACTTTCTTTGGCTCCTCTTTCTTAGTGAAGGAAACAGATACAATGCAATAAAATATTAGCAAATGCAAATAAAATACTAGTGTACAGAAAAATAAACAGAAAATAAAAAATTTCTTTTTCAAGTATTTCAAAACCACACGCAAAAGCAAGCAAACAATTTTATCCCTTTTAGTTTTATCTTAAATATACTGGTGGACAAAATTAAGATATGGAAAGCATTTTCGCACATTCATTCGCACATGCGAGATACCCGCACACAGCCCCAAGTGTTTGACAATGGTTCCGTGAAAGACCAGAGGTACAGGCAGGAGGTCCTGGAGCCCTATGTGCGTCTTTTCAGGGGCGCTATTGGCCCTGAGTTCATTTTTATGGACGAAAATGCGCGACCACATAGGGCTCTCATGGTTGATGAATATCTGGAAAACGAGGATATTCAACGAATAGATTGGCCAACCAAACCCCCTGACCTGAATCCTATTGAACATGCTTGGGATGCTCTTGGGAGAGCTATTGCGATGCGCCAACCTCCCCCCAGAATCATTCTGGAGTTAAAAATTGCTCTGGTGGAAGAATGGGAGGGTCTTCCACAAGTCCTCCTTAACTCCCTTATTAATAGCATGCATACTCGTTGTGCATGCTGTCTGTCTCTCAGGGGTGACCATACACCATACTAGAGGCAGCACACCCCTTACAAGCCTCACTTTTATTGTCATCTTTTATCCTTAAGTTCAGACTACATTGGATTTATTGGCAATAGGTCTTGCCAGTGAATGGCACTTTCATTTCTGCTTTGCATACTTTATTATCATGGAATAAGCTATATCCATACCAAATTTCATTTATTTATATTCAGTATTTTTTGAGATATTAGGGAAAATGTCTTCCATCTCTTAATTTTGTCCACCAATGTATATTGAAGCTATATTTTTAAGAAAACAACGAAAATTATAACTTCATTTTCCTAAAAAGACATTATTAAATCTTTCAAACGATTAGTGTTTAATATGAGTTGTTATTAAGTTGAAATATGGTACAAATTTTCAAATACTTTTGGAACTGTTGAGTCCCGATATGGTTTAAATTATCTGCAACGAAGAAGCATTTTCTATCAAGTTTACGGGTACATTACAGGTAATGGGACATTCTCCATTCGTAATACCGTATCAGTAAGAGTAATTATTCAATACATCGTCTCAACGTTAACAGATACATGAATTAGTCTAAATCTTTATTAAGATTGCAGCAAATTTGCTTGAGATTAAAAATCAAGGAACTGATATCAGGATTCAACGCTGGTCCATTTTTTCTAAGATTGTCGCAAAATACTGCTCGAAAATAATACTTAAATATTGATTTAAGTAATATACCAATTAAAATTTTAAAAGTTTAACTTTTTAACATTTTTTAACTATTTTAAAAAAAAATCTTCAGTTCATTTTAGTTGAAGTTGACCTTCCAACTATATGTGCATACATCAATTTTTTTTAATTTCATTTAAATACGACGATGAGATTGTAAAAGTTCCTAAATAAAACTATTGAAAGTATCTTGGAGAACTGGAACTCTTTTCTGAAGTGGAGTGGTAGTCAAGGCTTCCGAGAACGAATTAACGCTGTTTTTCGAAGCTCTGTCGCCAAGGAGAATAAAAAAATCCATAGTTTAAGTACCTTACACATTAAGCAATGCGATGATTTTAAACTATATATATAATCTTACCGAGAAAAGTTATTTGGGCTTTAGAACAGACAAATGGCTTAAATATTTTTTAAGTAATTAAACATTTTTAAAAGTCGCCATTTCGGCGACATTTTTCCACCTAGATGAAAATTATCAAAATCACTGCCTTATTCACAGTTTTTTTTTTCTTTCAAATTTTTATGAGCCCAAGCAATGTAGCATTGAATTGAGTTTTTAAATATTAAAAAATTAGACGACAAAAGCTTCTCCTTTTTACAAAACTGTGGCTTTCCACCATATTGACCAATTTCAAAATAAGCGTTGACAGCACTAGCTTTAGATAAGCTAAACTTGACCGAACAGTCGTGAGTAACAGTTACAAACTCAGAGCAGTTATATAAACAGCTCATTATTCGCCAAAAAGTATCATCATTTGATATTACGACGGAGCCTTTGAAAAAAAGTCTTAAATGAATATGTTTATATTTGCTGCTTTGCTCATTACACTTATCTGAACTTTAATAATCTATTTCTGTCTCACCGACGTCGTGTTCATAATTCTGTTACAAAAGGATTTCTCACAAGTGTTTAAAGCTGATAAAAGTTTATTACGTTTATTTTATTACATCCACCGCACTTCTATACTCTTGCATTTAATTTCTTAAAATGCTCGTTTAAATAACAATATGAATAATAAAAATTATTTATTTACAAAAATACTTTTGTGTAAGAAAAACAACACGAATTTAATATATTTACCTTTTCTGGTGGGACCTTAATATCTTTAAAAATAGAATCTAGGTCAGGAAGTGGTCCGAGACTTAAAGAATCGATTGTCTCTTTAGTTTGTGTTTCTTTCAATATCTCTTCTGTTTTCTTAACTTCGTAAGTGCTTGTAGACAAGCCAGAATCAGGAGTAGGAGACCGGAACCCATTTTTGAAACTCTCCAGTTTTTTCTGGGTAGCGTTTATTAACTCATTCAGATCCATGACGTCATGGGTAATGCTTGGAACACCTTCGGTGTGGAGTGATTTTGATACAGATTCTTCTTCTTTCTTGATGAAAGATGTTTCTGTATTTCCCAGCACCTAGAAAATAATCGTTAAAAATTAAATTTACCATCAAAATTTGCTTTATAATTTTCCTTTGCTAAGTGAATCACTAAACACTTTATGCAATTTCGATAGTATATTTTGGAAATTAAGAAGCTCAATGATATCATGTAGTGCAAGCATATTACAAACGACAGAAAAAAGTTTTTTTAAAATACTGTAATGTGTAAACAAAATCAGTTATGATCGTAACATTTGCTAATTTGCAAATATTAAAAGTTGTTTTATTAAACTATGTTTTTACTTCTTTTTATGATTAAAATCTGAAAACTCTAAGTAAAAAAATACATATATTCTTAATAGATTTCAACCAAAATGAAGAATACTACTAGCAGTTTTTATTAGTAGATTTTATTACAATATATGAATATTTTTACCCTTCTATAGAGCATTGTGAGCATTATTAACAATATTTTTATTTCATATTTCAATTGAATTGGATCGTTTCTACCAATTTAGCAATAATTTTGAAATTTTCTTTCTACAAAGGAGATATTAATTTTTTAGAAGCAGGTGAAATAAAAATGTTTAACTGCATTTGTCTGTTCCCTTAAATTGCATAATATTAAAAACCGCCATTTTTGTTAGTTTTAAAGTTTCAATAAATAAGCCGTAAAACACGAATGCGTCTGGCATTAATGGAATTTGCTTTCTAATAAAATCAAATTACTTTACCAACAAATATTTATGCATTCTCTCCTTGAAGCAACTTGAAGATACTTATAAATTTTGTTTTCTGAATAGCCTTAGCACGTAATTTTTCAAAGCATTATTTTTTTGTTTCAGATTTCATTTGAGATATAGAAAATTTGCAAATGAATCCGGAAGTTAAATTCAAAATGCTAAAATCTTTGCACTATCGTTATTCGATATTTGAATTTTTAAAAAAAAAGCCAGCCGTAAATAAATGGCGCCTACCTTAGATAGAAATAGCTTTCTATTGAAATGCAGGATTTCGCGAGAGTCCTTTGTGTATATGTTGTTTTTCTGGAAGCAACTTCCAACATTTTTAATTTTTACTATTAACTTATTTAACTGAATCTTTCAGATACAATTTTTTAAAACATGCATACATAGCTTTAGTGAATAAAATATCATCGAATTCACAAATTAATCCACAAGTTAAGTATTTTCTTTGTCTACAACTGAAATATTTCATTTGAAATAATACTTTCATCGAATTAAATAGTCCATTTTAAGTGAACTTTTCAGCTTGAAATAAATAAACCATACTTCAAAAGAGCACCTACTCTGAGAAAAAAAGTATATTTAAAACTACCCAGGATATGGTGAAAGTTACCATGTTTCTGGCTCTATGGGAACATGAAAAAGCTTGATAATTTTTACCGAAGCGCTTATTAATGATTTCAGCGAAATTAACAATAAATCATAGTTTTATATTGTGTGATACAATTTGTTAATTTCATGAAGATAGTTTAGACAATGTATGAAAACCATTTATTACTTTCAAGTTATGTATTTTTTACTAAATGTGTGCTAATCAGAACTAAAATCAGAATTTCCCGGAAACCACGTTACCATATGAATAAATGGAAAAAATTACCAAATGAATGGTTTAAATACAATATATTTTGGTTTTTATTCCAGAATAATGGTTTTTTTTACGATAATTGTCATTACCGTTCAGTATAGCAATTTACCAGATTTTTTTTCTCCGTTTAATATTTAAAAACAGCTTGTCTTCGTATCTCCACAGCAGTCATATGTACACATTTCTTTCTTGAATTTACCTTCATAATTTTTACATTACACTCTTAAAATTTATTCTTCCGATTATACTTCTAACATGCATTTTTTTCCAAACATCCTTTGATTGTCTTAGAATTCAGTTGTATGTCAACTTCCGCATAAATACAAGAAAAACCACGATATGAATTTATTAATATGGAAAAACATTTTTTATTTATCTGATGGTGGCTGGCGTTAGGCAAGAATAATGCTCAAGCTATTGAATTACAAACATTTATGAGAAATATCACATAAAAGCAAACAAGCAGGAAGTGATAGGACGCCGTTTATTTCTTCCATAAATTTTAATAATTTCGAAAACAAATCTGTGAATAATCTTGACTGTGTCAATTGATTTCGTTATCATGAAAGTAAATTAAGTCAACAAACAGAAAGTAACTTGCTTCATTTATATTCTTGCATCATATTAATTCTTGCTTAATTTATATTCTTGTATTTCTTGTATCATTTATTCGTATAAATTTGTATTTTTCATTGAGTTTAATAAAATTCAACTATACTCTTCTCTATTTCTCTCTCTCTATTCAACTCTTCTTTTATTTCTGAAGTTTAAAATAAGTAAATCCTGTATCTAAGCAACGCCTAATATCGAAAAACTTGCATTGAAAACAAGCATTCCACCAGCAGACGATAGCATACATTTCCTTGGTTAAGCGACCTCTATCATTTTTTCTGTAAACGTATCAAAACTTTGTTGTCCGCAGCTTTAGCAAATATTTTTTTCTCAGCATCATTTATTGTTTCAGATATCATTTGATTTTCCACAAATTAAAAAATTAAATAAAACATAAACTTTTTTCCTGGAAATAAAATATAAATCATTCATCTGCAAGTGAAAAATGAATCTTTTATATACAAGTTATATCTTTCATTCGTGTTTCATATTTCATAGAATTCTGTAAAATTTAATTTAATACTTTTACTAAACCTTTAAGTTTAAAATAAGTAAACCATAAGTCAGAAAGGCGCCTAACATTGATATTATTTGCTTCCGACTGAAATCAAGAATTCCACCAGCAGTCATTTGTACACATTTTCTTCTCGAAGCTACTGCAATCATTTTTGTAGTTTTCTTATCAAAATTTGTCTTCCGAATTGCAACAGCGTGCATTTTTTCAAAACACCCTTTTAATGTTTCAGATTTTAGTTGTATCTTAGCACCTGCATGAACTAATAAAAACAATGATGTAAATTCTATAATACCATGAAATATTATCTTTATCTGCAGGTGAAATATTAATGCACCAGGCGAGAATATAGCCCAAGCCAATGAAATACACACATTTAAGAAAAATATAACACAGAGCATGCCTGCGGGAAGAGATACGGCATCGTTTATTTCTTCAATCAAATTTAATAGTACAAAATACAAATCAACAAAACTAGCTGTTGGAAGTCTATTTTTAAATTGTGTCAACTGATTTTGATAGTTAACAAATAAATCAGTACAATCTTTGTAAATTGTGATTAATGCAAAACTCATCAAAGCTGGGAGCCCAGTAAGCAAAATTAAACTACTAGCATCTTCAAGGAATGTAATTAAGGTTAGAATCATCCTTGGTTCTACATTTTTACCAAAAGTATACAAAACGACATATTCAAGCGGAGCTAAATGGGATGCTATTGCCATGATTAATGTTTCAAATAAAATGAATGAAATAAATATAATTAATTTTATGTTCAAACTCCGACTTCGGCTGAAATTTCTCGGGAAACAAAATAAATAAAGTTTTTGCAGCTTTATAATTAAAAAGTGAATTTTTCGTGCTCTTTTCTTCATGATGTACCATAAAGTAATTGAAAAAAAGTTTGTAATCCACAAACAAGCGATAAACTGCAGCCACGATGCATATTTTAGATGCATAAAAATCATTGCCAAGTCCGTATGAAGAAATGTAATTGTAAAAAGGATAAGGGGCCAGTTTGATTTCAATCTCCACAAACAGTTATTTACATAATTTTTGTTCCTTTTTTCAATGTAAATTCCAAAAAATGATAATATTTTCCACAAGAAGCCATTGAATTGGAAATATACGAAATCGTTTGGAAATATTTTTAAACACATTGTTTTGTTACTTTAATGACCTAAAAACTTCGATGCACATGATTTTAATCCCCTAGCAAACAGTAAGTTCGAACCAAAAAGCATATTTTGACGCGTAAAAACTATACTGAACTGAGTGTGAATAAAAGAAATGTATTTGTATAAATAACATAAAGAGTCAGATTGATTCGGGACTCCACAAACAGTTATTTACATAAATTTTGTTCCTTTTATTTCAACCTAAATTAGAAAAGCTGATATTATTTTTCCCTGGAAAGCATTGAACTGAATCTTTCAAAACTGTTTTCAAACACTTTTGATGATTATTTATTTTTTAACTTTCCTATCTTTATTTTAATAACTTAAGAGCACACATAAACTTGCTTGAATTCGAGAAAGTTTGTTAACTAATAGAAGTACCACATCTTGCATGATAAGTTTAACCCCATTAGTTTAATCAATGATTTGCTTTTTCATTGCTTTGAGTAAAAAGAAAGCAACTGATAACAATTCCAAAATGGCAACAATGCATTCATTAATTGATCATCTATTTAATTAGCATTAAGTAAACACTATCAAAAATTAATAAATTTTCAACTATTTAGATTTATTTCATGGTGGGTTTGTATTAGAGAAAAAGATTTTCAATGAATTTTTTTAATCTATATTTTTTGGAAATTGACAGTTTTTGTTGTATACTTTCTTTTATTGATTGATCACTCTTGGGTGCATATTAATAAATTAATAACTTTTTAGGAAAGTAGATATTCAATACTCTATGTTTATAGCTCCATAAAAAGTCTTATAAAAAAGAGCAAAATAATTCATATAATAATTCATCATACACGTTAAAAATATTATTTTACAAATAATTGAATTAAATATAGATAATAATCGATAATAACTAATATAATATTCTATAATAATTAATATAATAATCTGTAATATTAATATAATAATCAGTAATAATTTATATAATTATCGATAATTATTTATATTATAATTAATCGATATAAATACAAATAAATTGTTGATACGGACCAATTAAATAATCGATTTAAAAAAATGTTTATCACATTTTGCACTGATATGTATACAGATAGAAAAAAATATTTCATGGCACTTTCTCAAAACAGCATTTAACAATAAAAAACAGGCTCGATAACTTTTAAAATTTTCGTCTGATTTGATTCAAAATTTGACTGAAAGGTAGGATTTGTGTAGTCTTTCTTGCACGCGTGATTTTTTTGTAGAAATTGCAATTTTTGATTAATTTAGTGAAAAAACATAAACTTTTAAGTCATTTTTGTATAATACGCCATCTTATGAAAAATTCCGATTGAAATGGATGCTGCAACTACACTAAAAAGCCTTTTTAATTTTTAGATAAATCGATTAAAATCTGATGGAAAATCAAACCAGCCATAAAATAATCTGTCTGGAGATTAGTAATTCGTCATCGACTTCGCATATTTTTGCACACACAGTACTCTACACAGTACTACAGCCGACTCAATTTTTGGGCTTACGGCTACAAATGTTCTACTCCGTAGCCTCGTAATTTTGAACCTAGTCCAGAAGACAAGGAAATTCCTGTATCAAGTATTGGGAGAAATTTACCTTTATGGAGGACTTTTCGATGGAACTAACCCACATTTGCGTTACATGGAGAGGAAAACCACGAAACCCTCCCATGGTTAGCCTGACGGACAGTACTCTATTTATTAAATATAATTTCATTTTTAAATATCGTTCAAAAATAAACATAATGGGAATTTTAATATAAATTGAGTAAAACTTTCTGTTGCACACATTTATTTCATATTATAGCATTCAATCTAAAAAGATTAATGAACAATGTTGTAAAATGTATAATTTAATATGTTAATTTATTTGGAAAAATCAGTTTTTTTGGCCATAATAGTAATATTCTCCCTTAAATAATATTTCTCGTCTATGATCTTTTTAAATGTATATGGGACTTTAAATTGCGCTACATATTAAGTTATTAGTGACTAGAACTAAGACCTTTGCATAGTTGTTGTTACATATGTCCTAAATAGTATTTATTTTATAATATAGAACAGTAAAGTAAGTATCATAATTTATAATATAGAACCATCTAAGATCAGTAAAGTTGGTTAAAATAATTAATCCTAATCAAGTTAAATCCTGTAAAAGAAACTGTATAAATTGTCAGCGTTGAGTTTCATGGCTTGCGGCAACTTCATGAACAAGGGTGCTATTTTAGATATATTTTTTTATTTTATACATTTTTTTTATTTTATATATTTTTTTATTTTACATCTTATTTTATTTTATTAATTTAGTTGGAAAAAGTACAATGCTTGTGGCAATAATAGGTAGTGTTTTCTCCATAAAATAATATTTCATATTTATGAGCATTTTTAATTTTCATGGGACGGGGCTATAAATTGTGTTGCATAATAAAGTATTAGCAACTGGAACTAAAGCCTTTGTATAGTTGTTGTTACACATGTCTTACGCAGTATTTATTTCATATTGTCATATTCAATCTAAGATCCGTAAAGTTACTTAAAATATTAAATACTTATCAAATTATGATATTCTGTAAAAAAAGAACTACATAAATTGTCAGGATTAAGCCTTACAACTTACGATAACTTTATGAACAAGAGAACTATTTTATAATGATTTGGAAAATCTATTAAAAGTGCAATATATTTAAAAATTTATTAAAAAGAAACCTAATTTAACTATTCTAAAGATCTATTATATACTGTGCACAAAAATGAACCACCTTGAATAACGTTTGACCGAATGATCGGATTTTCTCGTTCTAGGACTCAATTTTAATGGATCGAGGTGTTGACCTCAAATATGCTAATTAATTAGAGCAGACGATATTTTAAGTTAGGAAATCAGACACAAAAACATACTTTATCTGAGCAAGCATGCCTTTTTTGCGGGTTTTTATATCTGACCCTCAAAATATAAAGGGTAGTCGCAATCTGGTAAATATGGTCTCAACAATTTGGTCAGAAGAATGGTCCAAAGTTCATAATTTCAGTTTTATTTTTTGCGTATTTTGCTATATCTCGAAAACTTTTAAAGCGAATTGGAAAAAAAATTGCACTCAATTATAAAATTAGTTTATTCAAAGATTTCACACAAAAAATAACTTTTGATAAATATTTATTAATAACAGTCTAAACAATTTTGAATTGCTTAGCGTACAATTTTTTACCCTATTTTAAAATATGTAATTTTACATGGCGAAATAGAAAATTTGAGCTTAACCACTCAAATATTTTCTGAGATATCAGATTTTTAAAAAGTTGTATAATTGAGATCACCCCCTTAAACCATTAAGATGGAATTCTAGCAGATGAAGACACGATCGTTAGAGGGAAAGTTATTCAGAGTAATTAATTTTTTTCTGCAATTTACAGCATCTTATTTCATAAAAATTACTCTCATTCCCCTTTCCCGTAATTACACATCCCTCCATCTTCAAGATGTTTGATCTCGTTTTCTTCTAAAACCTCTCCTCCCTCTTTTTACGTACAACCATGCTTCCTAGATCTAAAAACCTCACAAAAGAGCAAATCGTCTCACAGAATAGCAATGAATCAACTAGTGATATCCATTCATCGAATTCTAACCCATATAAAATTCTGGTGAGTATTGTATTGTAGCTACCACTACCATTATTCAATTCCAATTCACTAGTATATGAGACATGTTAACTCGATTCTATCTAGAGGTACCTCGAGATGGATGATGGTTGACAAAGTCAGTAGCCTAGCCTCCAAAAATTTTTTTTCTTTTTAAATAAATGAAATGTATTTTCACTTGGGAAAATTCTCTTATGTTTTTCGTAAACAAACAAAAATATAAACAAATCACATCACAGAGCAAAAAAATAAATAAATAAATAAAAATACGTTTTGCTTTTGTCGGTAACTTGTCATTCAAAAACATTTTGCAAAGAAATTTCCCTTTATAATTAAAAATCATAATTAAATTGAATATTATTATATAAAATAAATTCTGCTTAATACAAGCATTACCGCAACTATGAAAAGGTTTTAGCTTCAGTTACTAATGATTTAATCTGCAACACAATTTATAGTTAATTAAAAATTAAAAAAGCTCTCAACTATGAAAGATTACTTAAGGCGGAAAACAACTATCAATGACAAAAAGTCTTATTTTTCCAACTAAATTTTCACATTAAGTTATAAAATTTACAATATTGTATACTGTATGAATTATACTATGATATAAAATAAATACTAAATATGTCTAACAACAAGCTTTGCGCAATTTATTTCATAATTCACTTTAAGCACATTTTTGAACTATATTTAAAAATGAAACTTAATTTAATAAATAACGTGCTGATGTGCAACTTTGAAGATGGCAGGTTTAAGTTTCATTCAATTTTTAAGTGATTTGTCTAAAAATTTAAAAAAAAACCTTTTTAGTGTTGTTGTTCATAAACCAAAATAAGAAAAAAAGGTTTAACTCAATGGTGGAGTTTTCATTTTTGTTAAATGAACAGAAAGTCCATTTCAAACCAAAAAAAGAACTTAAAAGAATCCATGAAAGCAACATCAGGGTAAAATAGGATTAAGATGAATTGACATATTAAAAATTCTACAACAAGTTCAACTTATGTTACCTCGTGTTTTGTTTCTGTTGTAATCTTCGTCACTTTATTGTCATCATTTTTAATTTCTTCCGTTTTTGTTGAGGTCGAAGAATCGATAGGAGATCTGGGTGGTTTTGGTGGACCTTGAAGTAAGTCGGAAAATAGGGGAAAGGGGTCGACAGTCGTCATTTCTGTCACTTTTCTTCCGCTGTCCTCTGTCAACTTCTGACTAGTGAAGTCCTCAAACGACTTCAACGGAGGAAAGGTAATTACATCAGGAAGTAAAGTCGCTGACTTTATTCTCAAACCTTCTTCCTCTTTAGTAATCTAAAATAACAACAGTAAATGAGCTTAATAATCAATAGAAAAGGTGTTCTGAAATAATCACTCTTAATTTATACTTTTAAGATCCTTGCCAAGAAACATATTAATCATGGGTCGCAAAATAATATTTAAGTGATGAACAAACAAAAAAATGTAACGAATCCTTATTGAAGAAATTGATAATAAATTTTTTCCTTAGTTTTTGTTTGATTTTCCTAATTTGGTACTACTGAAATTCAAAGATGTTTCTCAATGGGGAAAGGCGTCTAATTTGGGATACTCTATGTACACCGAAGAGCCATTACATTATGACCACCCTGCTAATAACAAAAAGGACCACTTTTGTCCCTCAAAACTGCTAGCACCCGCCGTGGCATTGATTTCACAAGGTGGTGATAGGTAGTCTGAGATATCTGGTACCAAGCGCTCACCAAGTGGTCCTGCCATTCCCTCACATTGCGAGGGAGTAGCGTGGCAGCACGAATTTGGTTTTCCAAGCAGGACCACAAATGCTCGATTGGATTAAGGTCAGGTGAATTTGGGGGCCAAGACATGATTTGAAAGTCACTGTAATGTTCCTCGAACCAATCCATGACGATTAGACCCTTATGACATGGTGCATTATCCTGTTGGTAAACACCATCCCCCGCAGGAAAAACTGTTGCCATGAATGGGTGAACCTGGTCTACAACTATGCTCATGTAGCTTACAGACGTCAGGGATTGTTCTATGATGATTATGGGTCCTAATGTGCTCCATGAAAACATTGTTCCTGGGCGGGAAACCCTGAAAACCTGGGCGAGCCCATTGTTATAGATGGATGGTGGTCATAATGTAATGGCTCTTCGGTGTATAATTACGATAATAAGTTAAAATTTTAATATTTATTATGATGTTCTTTATTTTTATATATAATGTTCATAATGTCAAAAATATAAACAATGATGAACATAAAAACTCGCCAAAAAAATTTTAAACACCATCTAAAACCACGCAATAACCAATCGAAGGCTTCTGTTTTCTAACTGACTTCATACAACCATTCCATGTGTTTTAGATAGTTTTTACTACATCATCCAAATCCATCATCACACTTTTAATAGCCTAGCTGGTTCGAGTGTCGTGCTAATAATGCGAAGGTTGTGGATTTGATTCCCACTCATCCCTATGTTACAATTGTTATCAAGATCCCTGATTTTTGAGCTGCGATGGCTCAGGTGATGAGGCACTCGCCTCATAAACTCCAATGACGTGACCCAGGTTGAATCAGGTGGATGGTCGATACGAATTCTGCCCTCGGCTCGCAACGACCACAGAGATTACATAAGATATACACAGTGGTGGAAAGTTTATGGGTTAGAATACCCTTGTCATCAAGCTGGATGTTTGAGGTAACATATATACGGATTAGTTCCATAAAAAAAATCCACCACTAAGGCTAGTTTGTCCCAATGCTTTATCCTGGAGTTCCATTGTCTTCTGAGTTGTAAAACTAACTCAAAACTGGTTCGTCTGTTCAACATCAATTATAAAGCAAAATCAAACAGATACGTCGCATATTAAGATGAATCCCACAGTAGAGATCTTCCCTCTGTTTTTAGAATCCCTTCAGTTTCTTAAGAAACCGATCAAATTTTAAGGTTTAACGTTTCAGTTTTTATAGTTAATTAAGTTTAAATTAGATAAGTAAGTAGTAAAAGGGAAATATTCTCACTTTGGTACTCGTTTCCTTGAGAGACGTTTCTTTAGTGACAGCTTCATTTTCTACGGTTTGAAAAGGTGTCACCTTTACTGTAGAATCCAGGGTTGTAGAATAAGAAGGATAAAGATTCTCTTTGTTAGAATCTTGCCTACAAGAATATAACGAACTGTTAGAATAAACATTATAATCCAATCAATTACACTTCATTCTAAAATACATCTTTGTAAAATATTTTTTCTAACTAATCTAAGACTGAATTTGTGGACGTCAAGTAACAGACTTACAATGAAGTTTCTTCAATGCAAATTTTCACAAGCATACAAGCAAAGTTTCATCAAAAATTGAGAATGGCGAAAGCGAAAAAATGAATAATGAAATAAAAGGAAATATTAATTGGTGGATTCCTTTCAAAGCTCCATGACATTTTGCTATTCTTTAGTGGTGTTTTTAAATTATTTTTTGCTTTCACAATTTTATATGATAAAATATATGTTTTCTTAAAAACTGTACTTTGATCAATGTTAATGCTTTATATTTATAATGAAAGGAATAAAATGTTTCAAGCAATGAAATTTTCAGCCCAAGAATTGAAGAGCTAATTTGTTAACATTCGAGTATGATTGTTTAATCACACTGGGGAACAAATTTTTTTGTTGAATTTATACAAATACTTGATATTGCCTAATTTGGGTGTAGGGATTGCAAATCAGAAATTAGTTTTGCTCCCAAAGCTTCAAATATTTTTAAATGACATTTTTAATCTATTTTCTTTTTAAATGCTCAAGTTTGAAAACGTTATAATTTAAAAAGGGCTTGAATAAATATTTCGACAATATCTTCGAAGAGTTAAGGCACATCATCAGAATTAAAATTGCATAAGAACCCATGTCCATAAAGGTTCTCGTGGTTGAGAGCGTTTCACTATTATGACCTGTTCAATAGCACACGGAGAAATAGTTCATTATAGAGAAGTGACATTAACGGCGTATGGTAGCAATTTTCCAGGCATGGGTTTCTATCAGATTTTAATCCTGCTGATGTGCCTTAACTCCCCTAAATGTTTATCTCTCCATTTATGTGGCCCCTTGTTAAAAGGTTTTCAAACTTGCACATTTCAATAAAAAATCAGCTAAAAAATTTTCCTTCAAAAATTTTGTAATTTTTTTTTTCATTTCCAATGAGCTGTATAATCGGTCTTGCCGATGAGCAAACCTAGTGCGTTCTCCAGAGGTGGTATCCACTCTTCCAGGACCACCACAATGGGTAAGATACCGTTGGTCATGTTAATTTGGACGTCTAGTTTCTGCCACACTAGATGGCAGCATCGAGACTCTATTTGGATGCTTAAGTTCACTAGGAATTTAATTTTGCCGGAAATGCCAAAAGCCAATAAGGCACTCCAGGGATCTCTCCAGGGCACTCCAGGACATGCCGCATAATCATACGACATGGCTGCTGAGGATTTTCTGCATTCCGAAAATCCGGTGTCTGGGCCGGGGATCGAACCCGCAGACTTGGGCTCAGAAGGCCCACGACAAACCAACTGCGCCACCCAGCCACAAATTTTGTAACTTGGAGAAAGAAACTGATTGCAGATTTGTAATCAGTGACTTAAAAATATCCAAGATACGCTAAAAAAATCTCATACGAACCTCAAAACCCAAAAACAAATTTGTTCCCGAGTGTTACTCTTATAATATGCGTCTAGCATACTTTCTTATCAACCGTGCTTTAAAAATACAACGCTTTGTCAGGTAAAAAATTTATGCAAATCAACAAAATTTTGTATTTTATACTTTCTTTTTGTACTTTCAGGAAGACACACAAACAGAAGAATTTCATTTCTAAATTTTTGTTATCATTTTGGTACTTAACCTACGCAACTTGTACGCACTACAGCGGAGACGAAAACGAAAAATGTGCTTTTCAAACTACTGTAAACATAGTGGATAATCCTGCCTGCCCCCTCTGCCGCAGTGGTGCGACGATGAATGCTGAACATCTTCTCAACTGTTCAGTTCTCACAAAGAACTGCATCTACTCCCGATACTGGGAGGCCAGAGAACTTTTGTTCAATTTAAGTTCTTGATTTAATTTTAATGTTTGATGTTTTGCTTTTGTTTTTGTATTTTGCATATTTCATCTCTTTCTGTATTTGTATTTTTTTTTTCTTTTGATCTCTGTTCAGCCTTAGGATAATGTCTGTATCGCCTGCTGCATTGGAAATAAAATAAAAATAATTTTAAAAAACCTACTCTAAACACATATGTGGCACAAGAAATCGAAACAAATTTACGTATAGGGAAATCTTTTAAGTTAATCTTACAGTTCAAGCACAAATTTGGTAAATACAACAAAAATGGTAAGGTGACCACTTCTCTATTTGAACCGTCAAATTCATGTCTCACAAGTGGTCAACTTACGCAAGTTTCACTGTAGTGAAACCTGCCAAGTTGACCACCCTTGTAAGTTAGGCACCTGCATAAGTTGACTTCAATTATCAAGAGCGGAATATTTCCTATATAATATAAAGAAGCAAAACCTTTGCAACTTGACCACCTGTCTGTCTTGTATGTTGACCACTGAAATAAGTAAATTTTATCTAGGAGTATTATGAAATTCTATTCTGAAACACTCATAAGTTGACCAGAAAAAAAAATTAAGAAAATTTTCTGTCATTTTGGCAATGTATGTTAAAATTTTACTTGTTTGGTGAAATAGTGTAAAAAGCTAATCTAAACCCGTTTGTGAGTTGACCATCAGGGGAAACTGTAAGGGGTCAGCTTTTGATGTTTTCTTTCATCCGTTCATTGAAAACAGGTGTGTTAGTTGAAAAGTTGCTATTCCAGTTGCAATAGTAAGCATTTGAATAAATGAATGCTCTGAAATTTGTATTTGATCCTTTATTTATGGTCTTTGATCCTTAAGTGTAGTAAATAAATTTTAAAGTGTTCAAATAATTTTATTTTGTTAAAGTTTTCAAATTACATGTTTTCGTGTTCTGGTATTTTAAGAAATTATATTTATTAGACACTTCACATGCATAACTAACGAAATAATTTTTAAAAAAAAAATTAGTTAAATATTAGAATTATATGTATTAAATTGAAGTTCATTCAAGTTTAAACACATTTCTTAAGATATTCATTTGCATATTTTCTGAATAAAATTTTTAAGTCAAGTAAAAAAAAAAATTAAACATATAGCAACATGATATAGGAAACGAAAAAGTAAACAATGACCCACCCCCTCTATAAGTTGACTACTTGTCTAAGTTGACCACTAAAACAATGCACCACAAGTGGTCAACTTACACAAGTTTTACTGTATTAACATTGAAATATATTAAAACACCACTTGTGAATTTTGTATATTTACTCGGAATACGAATAGTTATTGTTTCGTACCTATGCTATAACAATTACTTCATATTTACGTTATTGTAGAAAATAATGAGCTTAAAACAGCCTTATAATCTTAATTTTGATTATTCACAGGTTTAAATTTTAATTATTACTAGTTCAAAACACACAATAAAAGCGTAAAAAAATTATTCTTCAAGTTAAACTGACAAAACAAATGCAACTCAAAACTCTCCACATTTCAGTTATGTGCAAAACAAACAATCCAAAATATTTCAATTTCATACATGAATTACATCAAAAGACTAGATCACATCTGGGTAAAATCTGTCCACAGCTGTTTAGAAATGAAGATGGATGATACAAGAAATACGTTTTGAGATAAAATTTTACCAAAAATCAAAATATTTTCATTATATTTAGCCATGAACTGGTCCTCATCAATTATTTTTGTAAAAAGAGGTGCAGTGAGCCAAAAAAAAAATATCACTCTGAAGGACTTATAATCTGATATTTTAAGTAAGGATCACCGATATTTTAAGTTAGGAAATTATGCACATTTTTATTCTACTATTAATTATTAATAATAATTATTTATTTTTAATAATAATTATTAATTATTGATTATTAATAATAATAATTTATTGTTAATTATTTATTATTAATAATAATTATTCATGATAATTATTTATGATAATTAATAATTATTATTATCAATTATTATCATCAATTATTAATTATTATCGTACTTGAATTTCTGACCCTCAAATAAAGGGAACAGCTGCAGTCTAGGAAATATGGTCAAAGTAGTTTGCACCGTCGTTCAATCCATAATGATAATTTTACTTTTTGCGAGAAATTTCAAAGCGAATTGAAATACTTTTGCATACAATTATAAAATTCATTTATCCGAATATAATTCCACGTAAAAAATTGATATTGCAAAGGTAATTCTAAATATATTTAAGGTATACCATTAAAAGTTGAGTCTCAGTTGAGTCTAACCATTAAAATTGAGTCCCAGTGCGTAAAAATGCAAACGTACGTGAAAATTTATTCAAGACAATTCTTTACTTTTTATTGATTTTTTTTCGCGCATTGTAGAAGGATTTCAATTAGAAATTTATTTCTACTTAAAAATCAGTAGAACTTATTGTTCCGACAAACTTCACTTAGAAATGCGACGTAAAAAATCGTTGTCCCTAATGAATTTTAAATATGATTTATTCCATAAAAAATCAAACGATTTTTTATCTTTTAACTTCAATTTAGAAAACCGTTATGTTTCAGCTTCTTATGTCCGTTGAGGGTTCTTTATGTGTTACTTATTTTTATTTATTTTGTCAAAACACGAGTATATTATTTACTAATATTATTCAGTATACTGCAAAATACAGGTCCCATGCTTATTCAAAATATAAGCAGGTAAGTGTTTCTTGTTTATTGTTTCATATATTCATCCAATTTACTAAACTGCAATTTTTTAAAAATAATCATAATTTTAAGCATTCCTGTATAATTAAAATCCCTTTGTCTGCACTCAATACATTTAAAGGACTGATAGCTGCAATGAATAAATGAAGTATAATAAATAAATATCTAGAATAAGTCATTTTTCTCAAAAAAGTGCTTGAAATTATCCTTCATATTTTTAGAGAAAATAAACATATCATACGAATAAATTAAGTTAGATATTCGTTATATAATGTCTTTAAACTAAATAAGTTTTTGAAGCAATAGTAGAACTAAACACGATGTTATATCTTTATCAATTTAGCATGTTTCC